CTAGAAAATTATGAAGTCTTGCTTCTGAAAGAAATGAGGATCCCAATGAGATTATAAAGAGAACCTTGACACATTGAATTTGACATTTTCTATCCCACCCTTAATTGTGAAACAGCAAAGCTATAGTGGAAGAGCCGGAGGCTAAAATGAATTTCGGTTGTTCTCTTAGATATCAGGTTTTGCAATTAAATGAGTCGTAAAGGGTACCTTGGCAGTACAAAATGTACGTTTTAAACAGGCTAATGCGTGTAAGAAATTATTGTCACTGAATACTTTACTTCCATTTACTGCACTTAAAAAATACATTAAGTTGAAGTTATATCTTCGCTTTGGAGAACATCTCGTACACCTAACACCGAATTTACCTAATACCTTATACCGATAGACTTAATACCAAATAGGAGGGTCTCAAAGGGTGGTGGCTTTTACCCCTAGCGGTTAATGTTTTGGCTATTTACGGCTAACGGCTAATTTGTTTCCTTACGGTTGAAAGGAATCTTAACAATTTAATTATTGTACTGTTTTAAGAAGTTAAAAATTAATTTCATTACTTAAAAAAAGGTAAAAGAAAAAAATATTTTGATTACTGTAAAACATTATTTAACGTCTTGGGAGCATTCCGGGATGGTAAAAGGTATTATCTAAAGAATCGTAGACTAACATGGCTTACAAACCACAAGACAAGACACAAAAAAGGTATTGTCAAAGATCTTGAGACTTTCAATTTCGTGGCCAAAATTATTCACGAAGATTTCTTTACAGCTAACGGTTAAAATTTCCAACTTCTGTTCACCCCATTGACATCCTCTAACAGATATTAATTAAATCTAAAACTACAAAGACTTCAAGTTCAAGAAATGCATCCAGACAGAAGAGTTCTACACTAAAACTACAATGTTTTTCCACCCGAGCAAAGTTCACTTTATCTGCCTGTGATGCTACGGCCCAGTTTAACGTTGAAGAGCCACCAGTACACATGCCACAAGGACGACAACGCTTGCCATAGGTACCGTGGCTCCATTGCACAGATCCTTGTCGCAGCAGTAGGCCTCACAGTGGTCAACGCAGACGTCTTTTTTTTTAATATCTTTGCACCATGCATCAGTATTGGTGCACCCTTTGGCGTAAATAGACCCTCCCCAGCTTCTTAACTCTTGTTCAAACTTGGCGCAGGTTACTTGACCAAGGCCACAAGTTACCTTGTTCTTTTTATTGTCACAGTCATCCCAACCTCTGGCACTTAAACACTGGTAGCACTGGAGGCAACAGCCTGAAAGAAAATAGGGAACTTTGATGCTAATGTTTTTAGTCATTTTCAAAGAGTTTTCAGTACATTTTTGCAAAAAATTTCGGACGATTTTAATTTCGGACAATAATAGTGTCCAAAAATAAACCGTCCGAACGCAGTGCATGCTGGTATTTGTTTCAGGTCTGAGACCGCTATTGTGAAAATGACCAGCGAACACCGAAAAAGAACAACAATAAAAAAAACAACAAAACCACTATTTTTTAAAAACATTGTTGCTTCTGTGAGTCTTTCGATGCAAATACTCATTTTGTCGGGTGTTATTGACGTAAACGTTAACGTTTTTCCTGGGAATTAAGGGGATGGAATGAAGGACCAAACGTATCGACTACAAAATGTTTAAGCAAGCAACCGGAACGATGATCCTGCTGGTATACGTTGGATCAATGGTGATCTGATCGGCTTTACATATAAAATGAAGATTACAAAAGCAAAAACCGACAACGTAGAATGATTTTTTGAAGGTGTACTATATTTCGGCTGGCCAAACCAGCCTTCTTCAGGTACAATGGAAGATTTTACATTGGTGCGTGTTTTTATGTAGCCGATATTTACTATCGACTACATAAAACTACATCGACTACGACCCTTTCAGCACTATCTTCAGCTGTTCCACTCTAGTCATTGTTTACTTAGTTCCACAGTTCTCTCTGTGTTAAATTTTATCTGAAATACTGTTACAACGTCACCGCGCCACATATTTACCAGCTTGCGTGGTAAAAGTGTGGATCAAAAGATCTCCATGTATGGTTGAACTCGTGAACGTTCTTGAAATGATATTTTCACGCGGCTTGTGTGACAAACTTGTTTCAGGGAGCCCTTTCGATCGCGAGGGTCTCAAATACAGAAAGTCCAAAAGACCAAAGGAGCTTAACTCTAATAACAAGAAAACTGATTTAACAATCACATGAACCGATTTAAAACTGACATGCAATGCGTATTGTCCGCGAACAGGCGAACGGATGCAATGAATTCATCGCAAACATTAAATTGGATTCTAATCTCAATATCGCACTGTATATATGTAAACAAGGGTCAGATGCAACCATGATACGGGTATATTTATCTCGAAGCTAAATTCAGAAAACTTGCATTTCAACTTACTTCTGTGGCGGGTAGTTACAACAGTCGCAGTTTACGGGTTAGCACTGAGTCTTTAACAGATTCTCCAGGTCAGCGGGTTTAACAAACAGATTCTCCAGGTAAGTGGGTTTAACAGACAGACTAATGCCTTGTTTAGACTTGAACGGTTTACCGAGGTATCAGAGTTTACTTACCTAGGTAAACATTTTCCGTGTGTAAACGCCAACTGACACTTTCGTAAATGCCGCAAAAGACAAAAGAAATTTAACCGAGGTAAAAGTTGTAATTACCCTGTGATCAGGCATGGTTACAGTTGGTAACCAAGGTCAAGA